ATGGGTCAAAATATTTTCTCATTGTTATGTATCAATAATAATAATAATGATAATAATAATGCAAATGGTGAATCGTATTTCCAGCCTGTATTGCAGTATATTTAATGCCTGTATTGCAGCATATGTTGCAGCATGTTCCCAACATTTATTCCCACTGCTACACGGTCGAGCTGGAATCCAGTTAATGTCAGTTATGTTCCATTTACCAAACATACGAGGCACTAAGATATTTTCGTCTCCGCTGTTGACGTGTGGCAGTCTGTGCCGAACGTGTTCCATTCCCGACCCAAAATTCGTTAGTTACAAACTTATTTCCGATCGTTTGTGACCGTCCCGTAGTCCAGGCTGGTGTTCCAGACGAGGCAGAGACACGTTTTATACTCGTATAGTCGGCATGTCGCGGTGTTGCGGCTTCTTATTCCTGACTTTACAGTCTCTTCATCATCTTCCTCTTCTTTATTTTCCACTTTACTCTCGTCTAAGTCACTTTTCTACCTTGCGGGAAGGGAGGTGGGGTGGGGGAGGGGGATAGGCATTATTGTGTACTCCGACAGGAGAGTGTGGCCGAGGGATAGGAGACAGACTAAAAACATTCCTCCCTCATGTGGCTGGGATGAACGAAGATGTAAGATGTGTTGCAGCAGGTTTGTGGAGCAGGTTTCCGGGCAATGTGGATGACGTGTGGTCGGTGGAAATTGTTGGATGTAAATGTTCAGAAATGTTCCCCCTTATCCTTCCCTCCTTGCAACTCCTCCGGCGGTTTCAGACCCAGGCTCAGACCCAGTGGTCTGAACCTTTCAACCGCGGACACCACCACCAGTGGAAGGGGGGCGGCCCGGGCCACCTACGCTGAAGTGGCCCGGGCCACCTGACCGCAGGTATAGGCCAGACTAATTGTTTCGGGCCAGGCATTGTGTCCGCGCTCCTCGCTAATTGCTTTCCCTTTGAAATTACAAATAATGTTTTCAGCCATTTTTTCCATTCGTTGACATGAAATAGCGTACAAAAGTAATTCTGAAAACGCGTTATGCGTCCATTGTAGTTTAATGTGATTGTTTTTGTTGTTATTGGGTTTTATGGCTGTTGTCGTTGATATTAGTATTAGGCGCTCCTGGGGGCGGGGTGGGGTGGGGGGGGGGGGGGGCGTGGGCGGGGGTTTGGGTGGTGGGGGGGGGGAGGGGGCTGTGAGGGCACAAGTGCCAGAACTGGGATCATAATAAACATATGGAGTGTGTGTGTGTGTGTGTGTGTGTGTGTGTGTGTGTGTGTGTGTGTGTGTGTGTGTGTGTGTGTGTGTGTGTGTGTGTGTGTGTGTGTGTGTGTGTGTGAGTGAACTAGTGTGTGTGTGTGAGTAAACTAGTGTGTGTGTGTGTTAGAGTGAGCGAGTGTGTGTGTGTGTGTGAGTTTAGAATAGAAGCATCGCAGAAGGAATGAACCTGCCATGGTACAGGGACAATAGTTACTACTAGCGGGAGTAGTGGTGTGTGAAGGAGTAGTAACCTTACCCAGGTCTCCGGTGCACCTTGGCCTGAGTTTACAAAAAATCCCCGAAAATGAGCAGCAGAAATGGTCAATCTGAGAACCGTATATGTGACACTAAGGAAAAAAAAACATAGAGTAAAGAAGGGAAAGGAAAAGATGTGGAGTGTTGGTGAGACGGAGGAGGGAGGAGAATGTCTTGAGATGGTTCGGTCACGGTGAAGGAAAGGAGGTTTCCCTGCTGTCGGAGTCAATGTATTCCAGTCAAGTTTACAGCAGAAAGATGAGAGGAAAGTGAAGATTGCCAGTCGTGGAGTGCGAACTCACCTAGTTGTGCTTGCGAAGGTTGAGCTTTGGCTCTTTGGTCCCGCCTCTCAACTGTCAATCAACTGGGACAGTGTGTGTGTGAGAGAGAGTGAGAGACAGAGAGAGAGAGAGAGAGCCGGCGCCACGGGGTCAACACTACCTAACAGAAGCCATTTAAATGTGACAAAAAACCCAGGGTGTAAGATTCGATTTGTCAGAGTAAAGACAAAGATGGATGTTGTTTACGTGTGAGGGGGGGGGGGGTCCTGTGTAGGTGTGTAGATGCGGGGGAGAGGGGGGTGTAGGAGTGGGGTCCTGGGCTTGGGAGATGGGGGGGGTGGGGGTAGGGGGGGTTGATGGGTAAGTGAATCAAATGTGCAAATCATTCCACTGCAACACTTTCAAATTCAATTGATCAAATGTTACACTATCTGCACACTTTATAAACATTTCAGTTGATTTAAATATCCAGAACTTTGTCAGTCTTTAGAGTAAGTTGTTCAGTAGTTGAATCAATGATGCTGGAAAATTGTATTTAAAGACTCTAAATGCGTGTTATCTCAGGGAGGGAAAAAATGTATCGACTACGGATCTGTCGTGAGTTTGTTTTGGTGTGTGTAATATATAGAACCTCTTGTAAAGTAACATTATTGTAGGGGAGTAGTCCTGTTTACACCTGGTGAGAGACGAGAGGAACCCGAGGCACCAGGAGTCTTAGGTCACTGGGGGTCATGTGAACTAGTTTCAAGTGTCTGGACGAATGAGGAGACGACAGGTATTGCACCAGAACGATCTGATATGTACAAGGTGTAGGGGCCTGGGAGCAGCAGCTCGACCTGCAGGTACAATCTGGACACTGTGGTGTGTCCCCCCCAGACCCACCTGGCGCCCGTGGGTGCTGCTTCGCGCACCCGGGTAGAATCTCCCTCTGGGGTGATCCGTCCTCCGCCCCCAGACGACACTCCTCTATCTATTGTCCTCTCCGTGTCTCTTGTTATTATTGTTCTTGGTGTGTGTGCGAGGGCGGGGGAGAGGCGGAGATGCAAGAGGGATATAAGGCGTTGATCTGTTGCCTGCTTCCTGCTTCCTGGTCCTCTTGAGTCACAGTGGGCGGGAAGGGCCGTAAGCGGGTTCCTCCCTTGTTAAAGAATGGCAGAGCTGTGTTAGTGTCAACGGGAGCGTGCTCGTCATTAGTGAGGGGGGAGGGCGGAGGCTGGGACCGGTGGAGGGGGCGGAGATGCGGGCTGGGAGAGGCGGAGGGAGAGGGGTTGAGAGTGGGGGGAGAGTTGAGGGAGGGGAGGAGTTGACGGCGGTAAACTGACAGGAGGAAGGGAAGGGAATTATCAGCGGGAAGGTGCCAAAGCCATTACGACTATATAGCACTGGGAAGGGGGTCAGGATAAGGATTTGGGATGTGACAGTGGGAAGAAATGGTGCCCAACCACTTGGGACGGTCGGAGGATTGACCGCCGACCTGCATGAAGTGAGACCGTTGCTCTACCGTCCAGCCCAAGTGGTTGGAGTGCGGCGAAGGAAACAAACCATATATAAAAGCCACAAACTATACAAAGCCAAGCACTAAGCAGAAGAACAACACTATACGTCGTCCACCATATGTTCAGGCAACCCATGAGCCCCTCGGAGCCCTGAAGCCATAGTGAGAGCGACGCTACAAGAGCGAGCCATCAGGGTGTGGAGTACGATCGAAATGTAGAAGACCCAATGTTAGAGAGACGCACCACTTCCACAGCTGGGGCCCAAGAGCTTTGGTCGACTCGAGGGAGGACAAGACTCACAATACATATTCCCAAGATAAAATGCAGACCAGAAAATACATTTCAAAATTATAAATGACCCCCACACAAAAGATGAAAACATGTGCACCAGCATGTGGGTGGGTATATGTGTGGCTCCTAAACATCTGTCAGCTGTTGACTCACATATTTGTTTAGGTTTAGAAGAATCTTGAAAATACAGCTTTTTTTTTTTTTAAAGAAAGCTCAGCTTAGCTACCAAACACAAATGCCATGGGCGCCTGGTGGCTCAGTGGAGAGCACTGAGGACTCTAATCCTGGGGACCGGGGATTGATCCCCGGCGACGACGGAAAGCAAATGGGCAGAGTTTCTTTCACCCTGATGTCCCCTGTTACCTAGTAGTAAATAGGTACTTGTGAGTTAGACAGCTGCTACGGGCTGCTTTCTGTGTGTGTGTGTGTGTGTGTCAGAGAGAATGTATGTAATAGATATAATTGGAGGAAAAATATATTGGCTAGAAAAAGGTGGGGTCCAAGAGCTAACAGCCCGTTTCTGCAGGCTCAAATAGTAAATACACTCGCGGGAGGATTAACTGCGAACCCATCCATAACTGTTCACCCAGTAGCACTTGGGGACCTGGAAGTAAATCGCCTGTGGGGGCCGTGTTCCAGGGAACGAGCTGTGAGAAGGGAAAGCTTCGGCCTGCTTGCAGGTGTCAAGCCGTCTGCTCCTGCGCCCACTTGTGTAAACCAAAGACAATGCACCAAACCGAGCTGAGACCAGAGTAAAAGACCTACAGTGTATTGTTATAAATGTCTATGCAGGCGATGAGTCACAATAACGTGGCTAAAGTATGTTAACCAGACCACACACTAGAAGGTGAAGGGACGCGACGACGTTTCGGTCCGTCCTGGACCATTCTCAAGTCGATTCCCCTCATTATGTCTTTACTGAGAAAAACAACAACAATGCAGAAGTTCATCACCTACGTTCCTGTAGTACGTTAATTAGATGCAGCTCCTAGTGACGTATGCTGACAATGTGCTGTTCTCTCAGCATCAGCAGTAACAGCTGAGATGCGCTAACAAATACCTTCCTTTTCCCCTGCTAGCAGCAGTAACAGTAGCACAGGAGTAGTTGCAGCTGTCAATGTGGCATAAGTAGTACAGTATTAACAGTAGCATTAGTACGAACAGCAGTAACGGTAAGGATACTGTAAAAGTATAAGTAACAACAGCAATGGGAGTAGCATAAGTAAGGGTAGCATTAACACAGCAGTCAAAGTACCATATAAGTAAGAGCAGCAGTCAAAGTAGCATATAAGAATAGCAGTGAAAGTAGCATATAAGAACAGCAGTGAAAATAGCATATAAGAACAGCAGTGAAAGTAGCATATAAGTAAGAGCAGCCAGTAAGAGTTGGTGTAGGCTAACCGCATCCCGTGCTCCCTTGTCCCACAGGTGAACGGGGCAGTAACCGCTCGCGGGCCACCACGCCCCTCAGCCACACCTCGGAACCCGAGCTAGCGGACCCGCCCTCTCTCCACGACGCCGCCCACGCCCACACGAACCACGCCCTCGCGAACCACGCCCACAACAACCTCTCCCACTACCGGGGCCAGTACGCCACGCCCTCGACGGGCGCGGGTGTGGCAGGAGGTGGGGTCGTCGGAGGAGGGGAGTCGAACCCGGCTGCCGTGATGAACCAGTTGGGGGCAGGGCACGGACACTACTACCAGGAGATACCCCAGGGAGGGCTCCATTACGCTAACCACCTCGATGAATACGACTCCCCGGTGCTCAAGGGGGGTCGTAAGTTCCCCCCGGGGCGGAGAATCCCCGCGGGGGGGTCGTCGTTGTCGTCGTCGGATAACAATTCCGACACCACCTACGCTGAGAGCGACATCAATTCAAGTCTGAGAGCCAAAATGGCCGCCCTCGATAATGGTGAGTCAATATCATAGATTTGAGAAAATATATATATATATATATATATATATATATATATATATATATATATATATATATATATATATATATATATATATATATATATATATATATATATAATTAGTATATTTTGGTAGCAGTTTTTCTTGCAAACATATGTTGTTGAATATGACCGAAAGGGAAAGATTAATGACTCTAAACATGAATCTTCTCAATATTTCTTATGTTTTTCTTCACTGTCGGAGGGGGAAGTTGAAAAATTAACTCTCCAAAGTTCATTTTCACACTTTTATTTTTTAGTCTGACGCCTAGGGATGTGTTTTGCAAGGTCACTCCTTACATTCTCAAGGTTAATTTATGTTGTTTTAGATTCAGCTGTTCGGAACCAAAAGTTACAAGTAGCACGGGGTATGGTGAGCCCGTAGTGACACAGGAGCTGGAGTGTAAAAGAACCAGTAGATGGATGGCATAACATAGGGGATCCTGATAGGGTGTTACATATATCAACATAAACAGCTCATGTTCTAGTGGCAGCTTGTGTTTCTAAGGCAGGGTCATTGGATCCTGTCTCTACGTTGGCTCGGGGTCTTGAAGTGGGTAGAATGTAATTATGCTGTTAACTGGTTGTTGTTTGCTGGTCTTGACTTTTTTGATGCCTAGGCGTCAAACAAAAAAATAAAAGTGTGAAAATGAACTTCGGAGAGTTAATTTTTCAACTTCCCCCAACAGTGAAGAAAAATATAAGAGATAATGAAAAGATTCGTGTTAGACTCATTAATCTTACCCTTTAGGTCATATTCAACACACAACGCACGGCTTCATCTCCCCCTGTAACCATATTAACTAGTGTCTTCATTACTGTAACCATCTTCATCATCTACTCATCTACCCATCTACCCCTTCTAGGCAGTCTGCACATTCTGGGGCTCTCAACACTTAACATTTAGAAAATAATATGCTGCATGAATATTAGTGAGAATTAAATTGATCAAATCTTTTAAAATATTACAGTTACAATGAAGCAACTGTATGAAATCAACGTTGAACATTTCATCTCCACCGTGTTCACGAAGGTTGGAATTGGGTCTGATTTATCTTTAAGGGGGTATTGGGGGGGGGGGGGCAACCCTGACTGCATATGTTCGTCCCCTTCCACCAGCCGGTCACCCTGCAATATTTTATCAGACTAGCCCCAAGCATCTGGTCTCCAACATTGGACAGACAAGCAGATAGATGGGATACCCGGCGGTGGCCCGGTCTCCCACCTCCTCCTATCCCTAAACTTCCAATCTCTGCCAATCTCCTCCCCCCTCTCTCCTCTTCCTCAACATCCCTCCCCCCCCTTTCTTTGCTCCTTTCATTCCTCTTCCCCTCTCCCCGTCAACTCGTCTCTCAGCACAAACACATTGTAACCTCCATGATATCTTCTCAGTTGTTACTTCAACATAACAACATAGGTAACAACATAATAATTGCCTTGTTGGAGTGTTATGGACAATTGAATTACTCTCCGGAAAGCAAGACCCCCATATCAGCCTTCGTAGGAGTCGCTGAGATCCGGGAACAGCTGGTATGATCCTTCTTAAAATGGGGGTCCACTGGGGGGGCCGACCCCCCCACCGACTTAGGACAGTCACATACCACCCATGTGTCTTCTTGAAAAGTTGGGTAAGGGTTATATGGGGGTCCGATCGCGATTCACATATGATTGTCCCTTTACACCACACACACACACACGTCATCCTGCAAAATTGTGTGTGAGGCTATCTCCAAACACTCCACACAGGACAGACATTGTTATTTTTTTTACGTTGATATATATATATATATATATATATATATATATATATATATATATATATATATATATATATATATATATATATATAATATATATATATATATTAGAAACCCCCCACACTGCGAGCATGACCTATACAACAGGAGGAGGAGGGACAACACGAACGAGGCATCACCACTTAAGTAGTTATCTTGAGATGGTTATCTTGAGATGATTTCGGGGCTTAGCGTCCCCGCGGCCCGGTCCTGGACCAGAACCAAGGGACACACTTAGCGCTCCCTAGTGTGTCCCCACCACCAGCACAACGTCCAGGCTGGCTATCTTGTTCCTCTTGCCAGAGGAACCTCCCTGACAGCTCTCCTGGTCTCCTACGAGCCGGTGTGTGGGATGAGAAGGCGTGAGGATAAACATGTAGATGGATGAGTCTTGTGTACACACACTCACCACGGGCATGTGGAGCACCACATCAGCGCTAGAACATCCACCAGCCCACATCCAAACATCCACCATCCAAGACCAGCAGCAAAAAATCGCCTTATACTCTCATTTAATAACTGATTAAATAACTAATTAATAACTGCAATTAAAAGAGCGAGGTGGTACAATGATGGTGTCACGTGCTCATCACTACAGCAGCCAAGCCACGCGAACTGGAAAAAAAGGTGTTAAGTTTGAGAATATTTCAGATAAATATTAGGAAGGGCGAGAGAGAGAGAGAGAGAGAGAGAGAGTCGGGGGAGAGCCCCATAGTCGTTCCTCAAACCTTGCTATAAAATTCACCTCCCCTGAAAAAATGTGTCGGGGGAACCCAAAGTTCAGTGAGATGTTACACTCTAGTGCGGTAAAGGAAAGTTTGGACCGTTTTGAGAAGATTAACGTCTCACAAATGTTAAATTATGACTCTCTCTCTCTCTCTCTCTCTCTAGCCTGGCGTGAACGGTCTCTCGCCCTGGCACTGATCAGCGCCTTGAGCTCCACGACAATTTGTCTTTAATTATAAAGTC